TAATTAACCTTCCTCATTTTGACCAAGGTTGTTAAAGTTGAACCAGATCGACTAGTCCAACTAAAATAACCACAACTGACTATTATATTAGTTCTGTTATTCTAGAAATCTTTAATGGGCCGGTAAAAACTAAATGAACTGTAAAATCAAACCACCAACCATCTACCCATGATTGCATTTTATGGTTTAATTATAAAAAATTTCTAAACATAAGGTTGTGGGATAAATTGGCCCAATCACTCGAATATTGCATTTAACAAGCCTGATAGGTTATTGCACCTTATTAAAATATTTGTATAGCCTTGTCTACTTAACACTAAATAAATAAAAGAAGTTATATTATTTACAGTGAATGTAGTTTCCCTTATATCTCTTTTACAGCAACACGAGAAAAAGATTTTCTATTTTTTTAAGCATGATAATATCTTAAGTTAATAGAAGTCTTGAATACCAATTCCTTACTTTTAGTAGTGAATTACGATTTAATGCACTCATCTCACAATAACTTTCCTCTCATGTGGTGTCACTATTATATACATTTTTATAATTTTCAAATAGTTTAGGAATAACGAAATGAGAAAATACACAATTATAAAAAATCAAGATCAAGAATTTAAAGCCATTTCGTCTACCCTTTAAAAATTTGTTGATGTATAATACTCATAATATAATGTATGGAACGATCAAAAGTCTATCTCATGTTCGTCTTATCTCCAAGCTGGTACATATGCTTTAAAATTTCACAATCATCCCATATTTTATTGAGTTTGATAACTGGACGAAAAATAAATGTAGTCTAGTTTGTTACTGCTCAGGTATTGGCAAACTGGCATCCCTTGAAAAAAAAAAAAAAAAAAACTTGATTGAAAGACATCTGAGATGCAAATAAATTAAATCCAACTCTTATCCTACAATGCATTTTTTAAAATTTTAAATTATCTTGAAATGATTAACTATATCTTTGATCAATTTCTTAATTTTTTATATGGATCGTGTTTTGAAGCTTATAACATGAACTTTTATTTTATTTAAGTAAAAAAAAATAATATCATGAGATTTGAATTTTGTTCAAAGTTTTTGGTTAAAAAAAATATATATATATATTTTGCTAATCTCTTTTAAACGAATGTGAATGCATTTATATTTTGATATCAAGCTGACTTTGATAGTGTGTGGATGAGAACAAGACACATAATGTGAAACCTAAAACTCAGAGTATTGCTTGGGTCATTAATTAAGGGAAAAAAAAAAAATTGGTGTGTGGCTCTTACGTGTACTTTTTTTATTTTACACATTGTTATATACAGATGGATTTTATGTTCTAATTATTTTTTAAAAAAAAATTGGTGGATATATATATCCACCAATTAACACTATTTGTACTAAATATCTTGATTTAAAGCACAATTGAGAATGCAAAGAAATTTGAAAAAAAAGATCTGTTTTGATAAAAGATAGAGAAACTCTACAAAAACAAAACAAAAAGATCAAACACCTAAAAAAAGATAGTTTATTTGAAGTTTGTAGTTTTCAAAGAAACGCCAACAGTAAAAAAGAGAGTACTATCTCTTTTCATGATTAAGAAAAGAAAAAGAAGATTACTACTCTCTCTCCAACATTTGTATGAGAGAGAGAGAAAAGATTAATGAATTCTAAATGAGAGAGGGAGAGTTTTTTAACTTGTTTTTTTTTTTTTAATAACTTTATTCTAATTATAAGTTTATTAAAGTTATTTTTAATATTTTAAATGATAAAAAATGACATACATTGTTTTTTTTTCTTTTCTTTTTAAGGGAAAGACGCAGACCTTTATGTGAAGCTTACATATATAACATAAAAAAACACTATTTTGGAGAAAAAAAATTCATCTTGGAAAATAAAATTTCAAAGTACTTTATTTTGAAGAAAGAAAAACAACTACTTACTTGGACAGAAGGGTGGTGTAAAATTTTAATAAATCAAATTGAATTGTTTTTCATTTAAAGAAGTTAATTACGTACCCACTCATTGCAGTTGGATTTATGAATGTATTGATGTTTTTCAACTTAAGTGTGTTGGATACATCTCTTAGATATCATGGTTGGATGTTCCCACGGACAATAATTAATTTCTTAATGACATGACTGAAGTTGAAATCAATCAGATGAGATTTCCGGACACAAAATATTAAAATGAAATTGATTTGCATAATTTTAGCAAACAATACTTAATTACGAATTGGCCATAGAACGACTCCCAATCCATATTGATATCTAATAGAAAAATCTGTAGCAATGAAGGACAAATGGTTTAATGTTTTTCTTTCTAGTCGAAAAGAAGACTATTTACTATATAATTTAGTTGATAGAATAAAATATACATTAACTAATATTCTTATAACAAATTAAATCACACTATCAATGATGAGTCAGTTCTTAATTGTGTTTTTTGATATAGCGAAGCTACGAAGACTCCTATTGTAATTATATATTGTTGCCTCTGTTTAAAAAATATATATATATATATATATATATATATTGCAGCAAATGGTCCACCACCGTTCACATGTAACGTGGTAGCAAGCTATTTGTGAGTCAAACTTAATGACGAGGTACGAGTAGTACTGCTTTGTCAAGAGTTCCTTTTCCTAGATTTAAATTTTATACTAAATGAAATGATGAAGAGATTAATCTTCTTTCTGAGGTGGGTAACCTACAGACGTAAAAATTCATTATGTACGTAAGTGGAGCCAACAAATGTTGAATTTAACCCCCAAGAACGATACTATAAATTATTCACAAATGAATAGATGTATGTGCTTATCGAATTACGATTTTTTCATATTTAAAATCTAATTCATGAATTTACATTGATTAATTAAAATCAAATTAACGCATATGGTGTGTATATATATATTTGCTTATCAAGAAAAAAAAGTGCATTGTTAAAGATTGAAACAATAATGCTTATGATATTTCATACAATACGTGCTGTCAATTAGCAAAATTTCTGTGGGGGTTTTATTTAATTAGAAGGGATTTGCTTATGATTATATATTAATGGGATTTTTCAAAATGATTAATAAATTTTTTACGAAAATTATATATACTAGACAACAACCAAGGATTTAATTTAATTATTTTTGGATCTTAATTTAACTATAAGAAGAATATAGTTATTGGCTAGTTTTAAGCGATTTTGGAGCTCTAATTTGACAATTGAAATAAGGAGCCAACAAGGTATCATGTAGGTTAGGGTAATATTTAGGAGTCTACTTTATTTTATTTGGAGCTTTATGTAACTTATAAATGTTATTTAGTAAACATATTTCATACTAAATAAATAAAAAATAGATAGGTAATATATAATTTTTTTAAAAAAAACCATCAACTCGCAAGGTTTAAGTCTTAATTTTAATGGAATTCAATATCAATTATTTAATTTAATATGGTATTAGAGACTTAATGAAAGAAGATTATTAATGATTATATCTCACATTTAATAAATATAAAACTATAAACAAATATAAAAGTTAAGAATGGAACATTTATTACAAAGTCTAAGTTTTTTTTGGATAAAATCTAATTTCAATTATCTAACTTAATAATAGACATGTATAAAAAGGAAAAAAAAAATTGACTGAATTCTTTTCTTTATGAATTTACAAAAATTTCTCTAACTAAGGGTATTTAACTAGGAATATCTACATATATTTTTTTGTAAATTTGAATGTTTTCGTATGTTTTTTTTTTTATTTTTATATATACTTTGTGGATTAGCCTTATAATATTCCTTACCCAAAAAAAAAAAAAAAAAAGCTCTAATATTTTGAACGGAGAGAGTTTATATCTTATGAGTTATGACATAAAGTTTTCTTTCCTTTTTTATTTTTTCACTTTTATTGGATTTCTTTTTCTTTACTAACACTTTCTCTATCACATTATATGTCCCGAAGACCACAAATTCGTTTGGTGTCGAAATTCAGGTGTCCCAGCTCTAGATCAAAGCTGTTGCAAATTGATGCTTTAAAAATTTAAAGTATAAGCTTATAATCTCTGAACCATCAATCCAACCACTCTCTGTTAGCTACCTATCTGCATAATCAAATATGGGTGGGTGAGGTATACTTGGACAAAGTCGGACCACATCTTATATATACACGATCGATCATCCATAATATTAATATTATGCTAAAAAGATATGTGTATAAGTTAAAAAGATGGATGGATATTCATAGTGCACCATGCATATATCAATAAATTGCAAGTTAAGGTAGGTCAAAACTCAAGAAGAGCTAGCTCGAATGGAGCTGGAGATTTACAGGCTTAATTATGATTGATTTATGAGTAGAAGTAGAACCATGGAGTGAAGAAAGGTGCAGGTAGAGGGCCAGCAGGTTGATGGAACCCACCACGAACATTTTGTCGACACCTATTCAATATTCATTCAATACAACGCTTAAAAAACACGAGGCAGACAGAGAAAAATTAATAATGCAAGGGCCAAGGGGAAAGTTCTAGAGAGAGAAAGTCAAAAGGGAGTGGCATGCGTTCTTTATCCTTTAACTTATGCGTAAGTATATTCATTTAGTCACGAGCTAGCCGCAATACCACCACACATTCGTAGACTTAGTAATGTTTGCCGTTCTTGAGCCTTTCAATTGCTTAGAAAAGTCATAACCAATTACCTCTCTCTCTCAATCGGCACTATTTTCCGTGTTTTGACTTTCTAAATTTTGAACATCTCTCAACATTCAACTCTTCTCGTATATAACCCGACCCCAAGCTCTCTTCTCTCCAAATCAAACCAATTCACACAGCTCCTAGAAACCTGCTCTCAAACCAAAATTCTCTTTGAGCCTTCAATTTTTGGCTATCTACTTTCATCTACTCATCAATCAACTTCTACTTTCATTTCTTATCTGGGATTTTTGAAACCGCTACTTTCTTTATTTTCTTTTAGCTTAATTAAGCGGTTCTTAGCGTCATATTTTTGGATCTTCTTGGTTTATTTTCTATAAAATGGAAGATATTGAAGTCCCTTCCTTTTTTATCTGCCCTATTTCTCTCCAAATCATGAAAGACCCAGTTATAGTCCCAACTGGGATAACTTATGATCGCGAGAGCATCGAAAAATGGTTGTTTTCAGGCAAGAATGATACATGTCCAGTTACAAAACAAGTGATTTCAGATTGTGAGGTGACACCAAACCACACTCTTAGGAGGTTGATCCAATCTTGGTGCACTCTCAATGCTTCATATGGTATTGAAAGAATCCCGACTCCAAAGCCTCCAATCAGCAAAGCACAGGTTGCCAAGCTTCTCGATGATGCTAAATCACCACAGCAACAGGTGAAGTGTCTAAGGAAGCTGCGTTTAATGGCTAACGAGAATGAAACAAACAAAAGATGCATGGAGGCTGCAGGTGCTGTAGAGTTCTTGGTCTCAATGGTATATAACTTCAATTCTTTATCATTTGAAGAAACTTCAGATGATGGGTTTGAGATCACAAGACCAAGTGATGAGGCCTTGAGTACTCTCTACGGTCTACAAATATCCGAATCCGGCCTAAAGAATCTTATTATGGGAAGAAATAGCGAAATGATCATTGAGACCTTAACGAAAGTTATGCAAGGTGAAAACTATGAGTCTCGAGCTTATGCAGTCTTGTTGCTGAAATCAATGCTTGAAGTTGCTGATCCACTGAAACTCATCAGTTTGAAACATGAACTCTTCTCCGAAATAGTCCAAGTTTTACGTGATCAAATATCTCACAAAGCCTCAAAAGCTGCATTGCAACTACTAATCAACCTTTGTCCATGGGGAAGAAACAGAATCAAAGCCATTGAAGCTAAGGCAGTCTCGGTTTTGATTGATCTTCTACTTGATTCATCAGAGAGAAGGACTTGTGAGATGGTGCTGATGGTGTTGGACTTGCTATGCCAATGTGCAGAAGGAAGAGCTGAATTGTTAGGGCACGCTGCGGGCCTGGCTGTTGTTTCAAAGAAGATACTTAGGGTTTCTCAGGTGGCAAGCGAGAGGGCAGTGAGGATTATCCTGTCTATCTCAAAGTACTCAACAACAACTAGTTTTCTTCAAGAGATGTTGCAGATTGGCATCGTGGCCAAGCTATGTTTGGTGCTTCAAGTGGATTGCGGAAGCAAGACCAAAGACAAGGCTAGGGAGGTGCTTAAAATGCATGCAAGAGTTTGGAAGAGCTCTCCTTGCATACCAGCAAATGTACTCTCTTCATATCCAGCCTGAGAGAAAGTGATAGAATCATGACTTCCCTTTTTGGTTACTTTTGTCTTTTTCTTGTGTGTACATATTTGATTGATGAAAATATTAGAAGCAGATATACAATGGCACCAAATTGTGTCGTCCACTAGCATGTTTTATATACGGCACATTGGATTTTCCATTTTGAGGAAATTAATGATTATAAACAAAGTTGATAACTTTACAAGTCACCACGAGCCATGAACTAGCTCCTTTTGTTGCTGGATTTAATTTTTTAGCTCTCCTTTGTTGTCCAAACTTTGTTGATCTATTGCTACAAACATTTCAAAAATTCCATCGAGAAATGATGGATCAACATTTCAAAACATTTTATTTTTTCTTGATGGTGTTATTCATTCTGATTTCTGATAAGTTGATATTGCTTTTAGAGGACGATAAAAATTGTAAACACGTATATATCATCGATGTTGCTTTTACAACTGTGAAGGAAACAAAATTAATTATAGTTCATTACAATTTCTATCCAAAAAATATTCAAAATATTTTGGTTCTATGAAACGTACTAAGACCAAAGTTCCCATACTAAAAACCCTAGATATACACTGTTGATCCTTATGGTTTTTTATGTGCGAAACTTAATTTTGAAGTTTTATGGAAACAAAAAGGTTTTTAATGAGTTTTGGATAGAAATTTCTTTATAAGGTTTTATATTTATATATTATTATATATCCATATATGTATAAAACATATTTATATCTATAACCATATTATATGTACAATCATGTTATATATGTGTGTTAATAAAGTATAATTATGCATATATTAATATTAAAAATATAATATTATAATATTTAACCTAATAAAAAATTCTATACCAAATTAAAAATGCATTGGAGTATTTTTTTTTGTATTTAAAAAACCTAAAATATAAATATTATTCATACCCAAAAATCTAATTCGGTCACATGTGTTAAATGAGAGTTAGATATGTGTGTTTTTCGATAAGACGATTTTGTTTTGAAGTTTTACAAATACAAAACAAAAAAATGATGGGTTTTTTGAATTAAAGATTTTTTTTTTTTTAAATAAGGTCTTGTAAAAATGCCCCCTGATTTTCTTAAAATTCTATCCTTTTTTTTTCTGAATGATCAGAAATTTATGGTTTCTATCAAATTCATCGTGGGCGGCTCCTTCCTTTAAATTTCACTGTTGTTTTATTTTATCTGGAAAAGAAAGAACCCACGTTTATTATAATTACGCTTGTTTGATTAAGTGAGTAGAAATGGACCTGCGATAGAGACAAATCTATTGGCAAGAAGCATTTGCATTTGGGCGAACATTTTTCAGACTTGGGTCCCATATATATAGCGCATAACGCATTCAATTGGGCTGCAGTCCATTTCTGAGTCAAACCCTTCGCATCCGGTGGCTCGAGGTCAGTGTGTGTTTCGTTTCGTCGTAAATATAGCCACGGGGTCAATGCTGGTTTAGTTGATTTTATTATAAAACAACAACAAGTACTTCTAGTTCATCCCTCGGCAAAAGGTAGGGAACCACCATTGTTTTAACCTTTTCTGAAACAGAAGCGTGACCAACCAGCCCTGTGTTTAACAGTAGTAACTCTTACTTGTTGAAGTAAACGTTCTTGGGTTTAATAAAAATTAAGGAATTATTACTTTATAAGTGAATTATTATGTTATAAAACGCTTTAAAATATTCTCGTCAAAAAGTAATCGATTTCGAGTATTTTCCTGTTAATTTTGATGATGTGACATGCCTTAATTATACGATCAGTTCTTCTCTAGTTTATGAGCAAGAACATCCACAGCATTGACATGCATGAATCCCCACCAATACATTATTTAATTACTCCGTAAATTTTACAGATTAAATGAAAAACTTGCTATCAAATTGTAATTGGTTAGTCCTTACGCTCAGTTTAATTGTTGATTATCGGTAAATAAAAAGATTAATTTCGAGGTTAAGTTCCATACACCTAGCCCTTCAAGAAAGCAAATGGTCGACATTGATCATCTAACTCTATCCACTTTTGTAGCATGCACATGTATATGTAACTAAACTTTAATTGGGCAGTTATCACACCCTTATATATATATATATATATATATATATATATATATATATATATTGTGTGTGTGTGTATTGTAGTAATAGTATGAAAAATAATTTAAAAAAAAAAAACTACAGATAAATGCTGCCGTGACTTTAATTTTAGGACATGTATATACGAAACGGCTAGTAAGTGAATATTGATATACATCCAAAAAGGAAGAAAATTTGAAAATTCTGTAACCTCATTTTGACATGGCTACCACAGTTTTTGTCGACCATTTGCTTTCTTGAAGAAAAGTAATTATAGATATAGACCCTGAAGAAAAGTATTTGTCAAAACTTGTGGGAATATTTGATGTCAAATAATTCAGTGGTGCCGGAAAAGGTTCATCGTGTCACAACTTCCTTACGATCATTAATTTCCATGGACGACTTGCATGGTGATCTAGAACTTAAAATTGTAACATCACCTCCGGTCAAACCATGTTAATTACATACAGTGAGCTGGCACATGGTAATCAAGCTAGGACACAGCCTCATCAATATTCATGATAATGCTAGCTAGCTTGTCATCACGTACGACCTTAATTTGCACAACAAAGCTAGCTAGATAGGACCTTAATCGACCATGTCTCCTCCTCTCATATATATTTCAACATATAGAGCTGCTGGTCATGTCTTGATCAAGTCGAAGGCACTAACTATAATCAATAGTTAAATGATAAATTATAACCCACGTCACCTATAAACGGGTTGACTAACACAAATTAATGCTAATATATATATATATATATATATATATATATATATATATATATATATATATATATATATATATATATTTGTGTTAAAAAAAACAATTCAAACTTTTGATTTTATCAAACTTTGTGTAGTGTGTCGACCGTTAACTGATATATCCTAGAAGATGCATATGATTGTGGGAATTAGTTTCTTGGATCAAGTGATGATGCATTTATAGGTACGGTATTAAGAAGCAATGAGATTATATTGATTTAGCCTACCTAACCATGAAGGTGCGAATCATGAATTAAATATATAGAGAAGTTTGATTCATCTGAAGTTGAAGAGTTGATGAAGTCTTCAAGATTCAAGCATGCTAATGAAGACCAACGAAAACTTATGTGGTTTATAAAATTTGCACCTCCAAGTAGTTGATAGATGAGGACCGTTAAGCTTCCCTTTGGCCTTTACGAGTCCTATTTTTACTTGTTTTCTTTTAATGGGCTAAAGGGTCAATCTCAAAAATATTAAAGTTTAAGGAATTAGGTAGCTAGCTTGGGCAGATTGATTAACACACACATACATACATACATACATATATATATATATATATATATATATAAAGTCAAACCCTCAAGGCTCGTTCGTGTGCCAAAGCCTAATTAAGAGAGGCAATATACGCATCAATGTGGTTGTTTTAATCAGGCATTGAAACTGCTAGAACTAAGAAAGACTATTCGAAAAGGAAATTAATTTCTTCGAGAAATATTTTAATTGTCAGACAATTAAGAGAGTAACCAATGTTGATGTAGCATAAAATGAATAGCTAGATAAACTTCTTCTGGTTTATTTCGGTAGTCCTCGTGCTACTTAATTAATTTTACAAGTTACAACATGCATGGCCTGATCAGTGCTGATGTTGCTGATCTTTATGGTAACTTGTAGCAATGCATGCCATTAGTACTCTGGGAATTTCTATGTTCTACTTTTGGTACTAATAAAATCTAATATACACTTTTGAGTGTAAAACATAAGATATAATAATCATCATCTCAATTCTCATGGTATTATATCCACTGATTTAAATTCAGAATTTTCACTAAGAATTACGAGGTTCGAATCTTAGGTGGAACAAGAATTTGGAATTAGAAAAGACGACCTCCATATTATACAGCCCAATACACATTAATTGAATTTTCACTTGAAAATAAAAATCGCATGCCATTGTACAAGTTATAGTACCCTACTGGGTTTTTAAACCATTTACAAAGACATCAAACTGATTTTCATATTTTTCACCTAATATAAAAGTATTGAGAGTCTAACATTAAAGGATCTACAGAAATCCTGCTCTTTCTATACATGTATACAGTAGTAGCTCAAGCCTATACAGAGAAGGGGTGTGATTTTACAAAATTACAGTACATTCTTTTATCACCATGCATGTCATCCATGAAACCTGCAGGCCCTAGTCGAAGCAAGTCCCGCTGCAAGAAAGAAAAGCCCATTAGTACTGAAAGCCCGCTAAAATGAGATGGGATGAACAGGTATAGAATAGTGTTGCAAGAGTGCATGGAGTGCATGTTTTATGTTTTGCTTGAAGATTTATTTTTCACTTCCACTACAAGGTTGAAGATTTCTCCAAGATGGATGTATGATTTTTCTCTGATATCTATCTATTTCTTAATCCAAAATGATACGCTATCTTCAACAACTTAGGATTTCATTCAAAACTTATAGAGGTTACCAAAAAGCACATATGTTCACCTAGATATTAAATCCATGCAACTTGTCATTAATAAAGCAATGCCTATATTAATGATCTGATGGAAGATATATATATATATATATATATATATATATATATATACACTCCATCGTTGTTTTGTGCCTTTCAGTATAAACTCTTGAGGTCAGTTTTAGTATGGTGTGAGGTATGCAACCACTAGCAAGTTCAATCATAAAAATACCACCATTAATTAATTATTGTGATCAACAGCAATATAATGCACGAGTTCAAAGCAACGGTTATGTTTCACGTGTCACAAAATTGAATATGATACCTGTTTGGCTTCCTCTCCAAATTAAACAGTAATTCCATTAGTGTGATCTTTATTGTAATGTAAACTGAATCGAAGTGGTAAAGAATCATTTTTATCATCACATCAATTCACACATGCACGGTTCAAACTTCAAATAATTTGACAGTAGAAAATGAACCCATGTAGCTAGTCTATCTCAACTAGTTTTAAATTATCGCACGTATGTAAGCTTAGTTGAGTAGAATCAAGGTAAAATCAAGCAGTTACGCTAATAAAATAACTATATATATTTTTTTAATTTTATGTATATCGAGATTTTATACAATTTAAAATTTTTGATTGAGATGTTAAATTTTTTTTCTATCCAATTTAAAAGTTTTACTCTTATATTGTTGTTATTTCAAACCTTAATCAATGACGACTTATCTCGTGTCATGATGGAATCAAATTGAGTTATTGAATTGGATGGACTCAAATTGGATGATTGAATTGATGACATGATAAGATGTCATTGATTAGAGCTTACCACGTGTGCTTACATGACACATTAGGGCTCGAAACAACAATATAAGAATAAAATTTTTAAATTATATATTAAAAAAAAAAAACTTGGAGTCTTAATAAAAAAAAAATTCAAATTATATGAAGTCTCTATATGTGCAAAACCCAATTTTTTGAACAAAAAAAAAAAAGAAAAAAACAACAGCAACAACAACAAGAAAACATCTGCAATTAGAGCAAAATTTTGAAGCTTGATATATAATTACTTTGGTGAGTGGAGTAAACAAAGCCCAGTTACAGGTGCCATTATTATAAACAAGGGTAGCCTATACTTCTTTGTATGTGTAGATTATTTCAGGTCCTATACAGTGATATGCATGGATAGCAAGGGAAAAAAAAAAAAAAAAAAACAATGAAGTAAGACATACATTTCATCAAGACCTTGAAAAAGTATAATCACTAGACAAATCATAGGGACTCCAGTTACCAAACAATAGATTAGGATCTTGAATTTCAGGTCCAAGCACCGGCTGTTGAGACATGTCCAGGGTATGATTATCCATCAAGTGAGAATTCGACCAAAGTATCCCTTGAGAGGTTATGTCTGTTCCTCCCAATGGTGGCAATTCGAAGCTGCTTGGGTCGTGACTTGTACATTGCTGAGTCCTGTGTTGGTGATCTTGGTGCTTGTGTGCTGAGTCTAAACCATAGTAGTACATTAAGTGATCGTTGTCACCCAAAGGAACTTCTGACGACAAGCTGTTAGAGATGGCAGTACCATTTTCTTCTGACAATGGAGCACTTGGTTTCAAATTTGTGTTCGAAATGTAAGGGAATTTGATAGATGGATCAAACTCACTGGTAAATTCTGGCACCTTGGACTCTTGCTGTGGATCCAAGAACTTCGCGTAAACAAGTGCAAGATCGATATGAGAACCATCATCAGGAATCATCGATGAGCTAGAGGACTCTATTGAGGAAATTCCTTTATGACTATATGGATGCCTAATAAAGTTATTAGGCAAACCTCCATAACCTAAACTCTTAGAATGAACATCACTTGATAGCCTGAATGACTTTCCTCTTCTATTCTTCCTGCAACCACCACCTACAGGCACGTTTCGTAGGGATCCTCCTTTCGTCCAATACCTTCTACAACCTTTGCAGAAATACCTTGGTTGTGTTAAGCTGTAGTTGTTGTAGTAACAAAATTTAGTATTTGAGGAACCACACCGAGGACAACTTGGTGATATCTCTGCATTTACCTTCCATCCTGTCTCCATACCAGATTGCTTCAAACTTCATACGCTTCTGAAAACTGCCTGACCTCTCACTGGTTCTCTTTCTTATGGAGTTTAGAAGCAATTAAGAACTAGAGTAACTAATTCATGTAGTATTGAAAATGTATGCGCACCCCAAGCGCAAGACTGCGGGCTTAAGTTTGTTTCAGGTGCACGACTGTTAAGGAAATGGAAGTCTTGGAAATGTGTAAGCACTCATGCACATGAGACAGGCCAGATTAGGGGTTCCGGTGCCGTTAAGGACGATTTGGGTGGTACGTAACAGCCCCGGAGGCTAATACACAGTGTCGCTGTTTGTTACATGTGGCACGATCGTACTGGTGGGAGTAAAGGTGGTAGAGGAGGCAAATGCCTCGAGACACTCGCTTAGGTTTCTTAGAAGAGCAGACATCCAATATTAAAATTAAAACACCAACTTGGCAAACTGACACTCGGAAGTGTTTCTCTACAGTCTAATCTTGTACATGTTAATGTCCTCCTTTCACGTAAAACCTCTCCTTGTAAAGTGGGATCACGAATTGCATAGATAAGAGCTGTATGCATAAGGTTGGATATCATCGGATTTTTCCCTTTTCTTTTTAACCCATTCCGCCCAGTATGAGATGGATCTAATCCTATATTACTTCTTGTTTTTTTTTTTTTTGGTTACATAATCCTAGAATTACCATGGCAATCAATGCCAAATGACTTTATGTCACTCATTTAAAAGTGACAAGATTGTAAAATCTGAACTGAGAGAGTGACAGTAAGAAACCAATCCTGGAGCCAAAAAGTGTTTCCTTATCTTCCCTTGTCTTTTATTTTCTCAAATATTTGCTCATTTCCTCACAAAAGAAGCAAGAAGATATCACATGCGAGTAGCTTAGGCGTAGAAAGGTGGTGTTTCTTAAAGAAGGAATGTCTAGTAGGAGATAATACTTACATTAAGTTGAAAAGGATCTCTTGGATCATGGGCTTCTCGGATCATGGAAACCTTGTAGATTTCATAAAAACGAAATATATTTTTAGTTAAAAATCCAAGGATTCTACCATGACTTTACAAGGATACCACTTGGGACTGACCCAGGACACGAGAAGTTAATCAATTTCAAATCTAATGAACTAGCAACCACAATCACAAGCTGCAAACGCTACAGTAGCATCATTGCATTTAACTTAATAACTTGTGCTTAATGCTGTAACCAAAATACTAATTTAAGAGATTCTTTTTATACATTAATGGGTTTTAAAGCTTCCAAGTGTGATGGGTGTACAGTTTTTCTTGGAAAGCTCATTTAATGGACAGTACGTAACACAATTTTGAAAGAAACTCGTCGAATGAAAAGACTGAAGGAGAATTTTGAAGATAGGCCACTGGTTGGGTGAAAGAAATGTAAATTAAGCAGGCTCTAAGAAGGTGGAAAGGTCCATCAGAGGATCAAATTGTTTTCTATCAATTAGCAGGACAATAGAAGACTAAAACACTGACGCACGAACATTTACTTCTCTTTCTTCTGTTCCATTGAAATTCTGCCTTCTGTTTCCTTCCCTAAATTAGCATGCATCTTAACTTTCAAACACTATTCTTTTTTATGTAAATCCTGAATTCCAAAATCACTATCATGTTCCAAAGATCCAGCTTGCGAGTGTCAATAATTATTTACTACATTCAAAACTCGTTTTCTCGTCCTTGAGATGTCTTCTGCCTAAACTTAAAAACTCAAGAGCAAAGCACAAGAACAGGATTTAGTTTTGTTTTTGTCAAGAATCCAATCCTGTTCTTCTCAAACTATACTAACTTATCAGTTTCTAGTCCAGTTTATACATGTATAATGAATATTATTGGAAATTTATGAGTAAATCTTCTAGTTGTTGGCCATATGTGGTCACGGGGGAGCAATGTAAACAACTATCACGAGGAAAAGAACTTCGAAAAACCTCATTTTGAGACCCTATGTTTGTTATATTTTGGCAATTCGATCCAACCACTCTCAATTCTTAACAAACATCCAAAAACTTGTTGATGTAACATATATTAGTCATATGGCACACAACTTTAACTAAAATGCCCTATCCTAAATTAAAATAAATTAAAAATCATTTTCAAAAATTAAAAAGAAAATATATAAAACTGATGTGGGATCCGATGTGACTCTCTCACAACACCACACCTCATATTGCACAGTAGGAAAATAGAAATAAAAGAAACCTAATTTTAATTTAGACACCTCATTTAATTAACCAAATTTCTTTTGTAAACCTTTTTTTTATATATATGTTTGTTAAAGAATTTTGGACCAAATTGCTTAAATATAATGAATATATGGTTGAATTCATCAGATTATTTATATATGGTTTAACATGCCGATTTTATACAAACATAAGGTCTCAAAACAAGGTTTTTTCCAAATATAATTATTTATCCGTGGGTTCAATTACTATGATGAAAAAGGGCAAAGAAGCAAACCCAGTCATAGTGCCAACCGATCATATGGCTTGAACTACTCGTAAGTCTTACCATGGGCAAACCATAAAGAGAGGCAAGGCATCAATGAATACAATGTCCAAAGTGCCCTCAATGTGAAAGATTCAAGGTGATAACGGCCACCGCGAGTCTTTTTCTTCTTTTTTCCCCTTTAATGGTAGTACATCAGATAAAGAAAAACTGAAACTGGCAGCAACTAGAGGGCAAAGGCTATCCCCACAGCATCAGCTTGAAGATGAACCTGTAAACCAGGAGGGGAGCTATCCCAAACTTGCAGGATATCCAGATTTCTAGATCCAATACAAGCTAGAAATTCGCAACTTTGGTTGCCATCCCTTAGAACATGCAGAACTCTATGCAGAAAGTCCATATGCAATAGCGAAAGAATGTCATGAATCAAAGAGAAATGAGGGTGTCACGGGTCAGTGTCACTAGATATGCACCTAATAGATTCCACTGAATCTGACTAGATCCAGAAACCAACATCCCAGATGCCTAGACAGAGATACCGTGTCTAAGAGCTCATAACTCTGCCCTTTTGAAGCTATCCCTAGTAGACTGGGAAAAACCCTGAATCAAGTTTCCCATATGATCTCTTACCAAACCTCCCACCCCAGCATGCCCTAGGTTCACTTAAGAGCTGCCATCACCATTCGATTTCCACCACCATTAAGAGGAGGATGCCATGAAACTAGATGGGGTTGCTGCAACCTATTCCCCCCGTATCAACAAAAGCATCATCATAATCCTTTAAACGCTGCTGAACTTGGTGGATCTGGGCTAGTAGAGGGACTTTTTTTTCTTTTTCCTTCCTTAAACAGCAACAATAAGCTATTTTTCCCATCATCAATAGGTAGATAAATAAAATGTTAGGGATGAACATAATAATATTCTTTTTCTGTTATTAGAAATCCAAGTTCCATTTTCTATAAAAAATATGTTTCCCTTTTAAATTGTGCAGCCTATATGTAACATCAATACCCATCAAGCTACTATACACATTCTATGACCATGTTATGCCATTAAGGATTCCCAACTAAGAAGTGTAATGCTTGTCACACTAATCAAAGAACCGGAGATTTCAAAAGGATGCCATGATAATTTTCAAGTTAAAGGATTCAACAATAATTAGGAAGTCACATTTGGGAAATTTAAAGGGCCAACATCATATAGAGGTCATATTGTATATGTCTAATCTAATCAGCCACCAAACAATATAACTTGATCACTCAGCGAAAGCATCTAAATTCCTGAAGTATATTTTCCATAAAAATAAAAATATGCAATCATCAACTTTTCACATAACAAATGATTAGCAGATAAAAAACATAAATCTTACATTTGATATTTGATAAGGTAACAAGTTTACTTGTGTTTCTTCTTTACCTGTAGAGATGGAGCAAGAGGACCTGGTCTCTTCTTTGCAAATGCGCTGGTTCTGCTTTCTGATTCCTCACTACTGTCATCATCCTCATTACCATCCCTAGCACGTAGAATGGAATCCTCAAAACTTTCATCAGCTCTTCCCTTTCCGGCTTCCAACTTGGTATATAACCTCCTTTCAACAGGGTCATTTGACTGTCTAGCTTTAGATTGGCGTGGAACTTCTTTTGCACTAAGTCCAACCCTAGAAAAACATGCAAACATTTCTTACGAACAGTTCAAAACAAAACAGCAAAAGGCTTCAAAAAAATGAAAAGATGGCTATACTGCCTGGAAGGTCGCCCCCTGATTCTACTTTTGCTGGTTCATCTTCTACAGCCTTACTCATGTTATTGATCCATTGTTCAGCCTGCACCACAGCAATGTTCTAGGAAAAAAGGGGAGAAAAATTCACAACAAAAGAGTAATGGTTTCAGTACATCCACTAGATTGAAAGTAAGTAGTTGACTTTGACTCTACTCCACTTCCTCCCAAATCTACAACGGTGCCATTTGCTATTTTGTCACGAACAGAATGAATGTTAGAGGGGGAAAAAAAAAAAAGGTAAAAATCGACAACAAGAGAGTAAAAGTTTCAGTACATCCACAAGATTGAAAGTAAGTAGTTGACTTTGACTCTAATCCACTTCCTCCCAAATCTACAATGGTGCCATTTGCTATTTTGCCATGAGCAGAATAGGGAGTTTTGCCTTCTGATTCGAGCAAAAAAGGGAGTTTCAGTTTCACCCAGTTTTGGAATATGACTATACTATCTTAGTCAACACATTCAGAAATTTCACATAAACAAGAACGTGAAATACTGAAATTGTTAAACCTAATAATACACTTTCACCTCAAATTACTAATAATTGATTCACAGCATTAAAGCCTCTCTCTCTCATTTTCGCTTTCTAGAGTGTTCAAAAATTGACTATAAGAGAAGAGAAACACATAAACACAAGTCATATATTGTAAGGCAAAAACAAAAGCATAAAGAAAACGGTTTTGTTTTTGTTACCAATTTGAAGGCACTGTCTAATCTGACAATTTTTGCAGGTTTTTTTTTGGTGCCCTGCCCCCCTGCTCATTGCTATTTTCTACTCCTTTTCTTAAACTTGCACTAGCGATTCAATGATTCTCCATGCTTTTCAGAAACAAGTCAAAGGAAGCTAGGGTTCGGAATTCACCTGATAGGAATCAGCAAATTGGAAAGAGACAGAGATGAGAAATGTAGCCGTAGTCGGAGTTGGCTCTGGAAAAACAAAGTCAACTAAAAAGCGAAGTGGATGTCGATACCTTTTCTCCTTCCAGTGCTCAATTTTTTTTAAATTTTCTCTTTTTTTTTTTTATTTATCTGTCTAAATTTATAGAATAATTATTATATATGCCATTAGCAACTCTTTTCATGTTGTAAAATTTCTCGTGCTTTATTTTGTTGCGGCGTGTTTGTTTTCTGATAGGAGAGAATGTTTGCATGGTCGGGTCGGGTTGGCTGCGATTCGATAATACGGGAGGAGAAGTGCTATGTTGTATGACACGTCAATCGTTTTTAACACTCTCCTTTACACAAATAAAGCCTATAGAAATAATTAAAAATTCCAATTTAGATAACTATTTTTTAGGAAATCAAAGTCAGATACAAAAGTTTTAAAACTTAAAATATTTGCAATTAAAATCAAACTTAATTAGCATAAAGGTAATTATTGATTTTTTGATAATTTAAAGCTAAATGAATCAAATCATTTCTGAATTTTAACTCTTTTGAAATTGAATTCTTCAACTTCAAATTTGGTATTTTTGGATATTTGAATTTTTATTTTTTTGATATTTAACTCATGCTTCATTTTTTTGTCATTTATTTCAAAAACAACAATCATATAAGTAGCTTAGTGATAGAAATCATTCAAGTAAGATTTATGTGGGATCATTTTCGAAACATTTTATATTTTTCTTATTTTTTATATTTTTAATGTTTAAAAAAATAAAGAAATATATATATTTTTTTAATTTAGAAAAGTTATGGGATTTTTCTAGAAAATTGTTTGAATTTTTTAGAAGAAAAAATGATAGCTAAAAATTATTAGATGAACTAATATCAAAAATTTAAAAGTTCAAGTATTTCAAAATTTAAATTTTAAATTCAGAAACTCAATTTTAAATGGATTAAAATTTGATCGATTTAACCATAATTTAATTAGAATCTAAAATATTGTTCAGACAGTCAAGCTAAAGTTAGACTGACAAAATGCTTACATCTAAATCAAATATGATGTCTTAAGAGACTATATATATATATCCACTTCCTACGTTTAAGATGGCTTGAATATTAGGAGCTGAATACCTTTTCCCTTTGCCAACACGTGAGTCATGGAATTTTTTTTTTTGGAAAAGAGTATAATTTGCATTCTTGGGGGAAAAAAAAAAACAGTAATTGTTATTAATCTACAATTCTAAGTAATATTATCATAACCGAACTGTACAGTGAACCACCAAAACAGCTGGGTTCCCGGTCAGCTGCTGGTTCAATGCAAATTTATTTATTTAAAAAAAAATCAGATAAAGCAAAGTAGCAAGGCATCCTATATGTGATCAGATAATTGAAAACAAAAGTATGTTATTTTGTTAATTAATTAGGAAAACTCTTTAATTACACTCTAGTGTAAGTTAGAGATGAGTCTAATTAAAAGATTCATAGATATCAAAATCTGATTAAAACATAACTTAAATTCACATTTTTTACAGAATTGATAAATATCTCTAAATGAAAAATAAAAATAAAGAAAAGAATAGAAATCAAAAAGTAGGAAGTTAAGCCTTCAAGTGAAAGAAATTTGAGCTTGGAACTTGCAAAGACTCACGCTACCTTGTGCTTAATTAATTACGCTACCTTATGCTTAATTAATTAGAAAAGAAATGGAGGGTGGTGAGACTTGAATTCGTAACCGTTTAGTCATTAAGGCTTTGATATTATGTCAAATGATCATCTCATCTAAAAAGTTAAGCTGTTAGGTGAACCTTTAAGATATTATTCATATTATTCTTTAATCGAAGGGCACAACTTTGCTTGATAAATACTATGCTTTATATATATATGCAGAATGGAGAATGAATTGAAAGAAAAAAAAAAAAAGCATAGTATTTATCAAGCAAAGTTGTGCCTTTTATGTTGCTCGGTTAAAGAATAATAAAAATCATATATATATATATATATATATATATATATATATATATATATATATATATTAACAACAAGGAAACTAATTGGTATTTATCCAACACATGCACTCAACAACGGATAAAGAACACTTGAAAACAGAACAAAAGAAACAAGCTTTAGCAGCAAAGAGATGAAGAAATCAAGAAAAGTCTTCAACAGTATCTTCTTTCTTTAGTCTTCAAAGTTGTGTTAACATATGAAATCTCACGATTTTTGTTTTATATAATATGATTCTGATTAAATAATGAAGAAGAAAGAAGAATTTTTAGCAAATTATTCTTTCATCCTTTAGTTTTCAACTCAATTGTAACTTAGTCCCTCAGTTTTCAATAACCTACAGTTATGTCTACCCCTTTAATTATCTATGATACTTAAAAGTCTTTTTTTCTTTTTTACAGTGCACTATTAATTCTCTATTATTATTGACCAAGAATTCCTTTAAAAACTTTATTTTTTGATATTTCAAGCTGAATTTTTTTCACATTTGCTAATACAAATTCAATCCACTTTAGAAATAATTGCAAATTTTTTTGAGATCAGAAAGTAATTTTTTTTTTTAATATTTATTAAACATTAAGTATTTACAAAGTCATATAAAAAAATTGAAACTAATTTGGAACGATCCCAATTTTGGGGGGTCTTACAAAAATATACATTTATCTGCATATTTTTAGCATGACTATTAAAATATTTACATGGTCAAATGTCTAACACGAAATCAAAGCTTAGAATGACTAAGTCATAAACAAAAAATTAAAATAGAAGACATAACTATAGATTTTAAAACACCAAGAGATTAAGTTACAATTACGGATTTTTCTTTTCTTTAACGAAAGAAGGAAACGGATGAGGAAAAGATTGCCTCAAGATTTAGGGCTTTTCTTAAGCCCAAAACGAGTTAAGACTTAAGTTGTTTAAAAAACCCTTTTAGTTTCCTAACATGATGATTCAGTCCAGTTTTTACTTCTACGTTGATTAAAATGTCCCAGCCTCGTTGGAGGCCAGGATAAACAAAAGAAAAAATGAAAAAAACTCTCTTTTTAAACAGCCTGACCGTTTGAGCTGCCATAGAAATCACGGTGCCATTACAGATAGGCAATCAAACCATCAATTACACTGACTCAAGCAAACAAATCAAATAAACATCTACGTACAGAAATCATGGTTAAAACGCTCCACAAAAAAAAAAAAAAAAAAAAAAAAAGGCATTTGCATGATTTCATTTAAAGATGCTTCAGAGCTCGGATCATCTAATCTATAACTCAAGAAAAGCCAACATTAAGTGCTGTACCGAATAACTAGACCTAGGAAGCCACAACCTCCTAATCCTACCCTTACACGGATTTGGGTTCATTCAACAACCAGAATTCCTCACAGCAATCAGACATTGAATGATGACAAAAATCATAATAGGTCTTGATTTCTTCTGAGAACAATAAGCTTCTACCAAAATTTGCATATTCTGTACTCAATAGTTATAAATGCAGCTAACCCTACAACTACATAAAACTGTATCGGATTTGGAAAGGAAAAAGAACCAATACTTGAAACCTGCAAGCCTAAATTTTCCCCTTCGGTATAGGTAATCAGGTGACTAGAAAAAAGAACAGTTAAGGAGCAATTTAATGATAATTTACAGTACAACAAAAATTATGTACATCATATTGTACAGAATTGACGCAAAATTTCAGTAGCTAAGGCTGAAAAACAAATCATGCAGAATGAGAAAATGGGAGCTGTGACTTGATGCAACATGGACCAACAATGGCAGGTCCGAGCTCTGAAGTATGTACTCTGAAGAAGCTAATGAGATCAAAATTAAATCCACAGACAGATGCTATTGCTGGCCTAGTCTTTCCTGTAAACAACAAGAAAAACTCGAATATTTAAGAGAGCTGCCATTAGAAGCCAAAAAGAAAAATTTTAAATCTCTTAAAAACTGACTGAAAGATTAGAAAATCTAGTAGGATTGGATGATGAAATAGCTTCATGCACAACCGAGAATTCAGAATGAGAAGAGAAACTGAAACTAGACCTAAATTAACTACTTGGTTTGGATTTTACTTCTAAAAGCATAGGTTCGGTCTTGATCTTTTTATAAATCACCCAACTTCGAGGATGTGAATTACACTTTATATTATCTTAATTTGGCATAGATGGCTGTGATCAATTAGCAACAGCACTCTCAAGTATTGTGCTGATGTAGCACTCTTTCAACGGGTCAAGAGCCTTCAGGTGTTAGAAAGAGGAGAGTAGAACCAAGATTCAACCCAAGGCGCACCAACTTAAATCATGTGGTCTGTTTCAACTTGGTTAAGTCATGGCTGGTTCGGTTCAATGATAGTTAACTCGACTTTGAGTTAAAAAAAACAAAAAAAAAAAAAAGCAGATTTTTATTTAAAGGCTTCAATTATTACTGTAGCCTCACAGTTTCAACATCAGTAAGCAACAAACATTGGCACTTAAAAGAGTTGGAAAGATGTGCAAGAAACTAGATAATACCTGAAGCATCTGCATTAATTTTGGATGCTGCTCCAAAAGCCGGCACAGTTCTTCCTTGTTACTCAATAAAGACTGCCATAAAACAAGAGCATTAAAGTTCAGGTGAAACAAAGCATGTACATTGCAAAACTACAAACAAAATTTCATGGCAGTAAAACACAGGTACCGTGATAGCTTTTGGATCCTGGAAGTACTCCTGTAATGACATTCCAAGATCTTGTTGCTGCTGTGATGAAAAATCTCCCTGATGACGCATAACATGTGGCTGTGCATGCTCAAGTTGCTGTTGCCTTGACTGAGAAAGCTCTTGATGCTGAGCTTGATAATGAGTATGCATAGAAGGGAGTTGTGGTTGTTGCAGCAATTGTAATTGATGGCCTTGCATTTGGTTAGGGGTTTGCGAAGACACCCCTTGTTCCAGCTGCTGAGAAGATTGTACAAGTGGCCAAAGATGTTGTGGTGGCTGCGGTGGCCGTCGAAGCGGAGGCTGCAGAGGCTGCAACTGATGTATTGTCTGAACGGAAGGCTGAGGAATGGAGAGATTTTGCAAGATTGGACTCTCGCCTTGCTGCTGGGCTGGGGTGCTTCCATAAACAGTTGCAGGGATTGTGGCTGGTCTACTGAAAACCATGGGTGGCATTAGAGGAGGTGGCATATAAGAAGTTAAACCAGAACCGGACACAGAGAGATTTCCTAATCTAGGGTCAATTAGTGGTGAAGTAGACGCCTGGGGAAGCTCAGTTCCAATAGTATATACTGAAGATTGTGAAGTAGGACTTATAGATGGTAAATTATATGGACTAGATGAGAAGGGAGGTGGTGTAGGAGGAAGTGGCGGATGAGGTCCAGCAGATCCACTTGGAGAAGAGATAGAATTACGTGAATACTTGGAATCTGGCATCTGAATAGAAGGATTGTTACCAAATGCAGATAGATATTCTGACTGAACCTGCAAAAAGGGGAAAGCATGATTACACAAATGCAGGGGAACATGCAGTAACAGCAGGATAGCAGCTAAAATTTGTTTCATATAGACGGCACATCTTATCTTACTTGGAAGGCTGCAGGAAGTGGAGGCTGCACCTCGATTCCAGAGTTGACGTAGGGGGATGACTGACTCGGGCCTGGATCATGATTCTGAGACATTATGGGTGAGATTGTTGGGGGTGGCATTGGAGGCAAAGTTGGCTGATTCAGAGGAATTTTACGGTCATAAAGTCCTCGAGATCCTGAAGAATGCTGTGGACTGTTCTTCATATAGAAATTTTGGGGAGGCATCCTTGAGTCCACTGGCATCTGTACAGGAAAACCTGAAGTAGTTGCAGCTGGAACAGAATCAAAGCCAGTAGAGGTCTTAATGGCATTCTTTGAATCATCATGTTGCTCAAAAAACTTCTTATCCGAAGAAACACTTGGTTCCCGTGTCAATGGCATTTCAGGTCGTGAAGCAGACATCCTTGAAGAGAACTCACTTGGGGTGCTCTCATCAACATGGGATGCTAATGGTGTGCGTGAATGAGAAAATTGACTAATTTCATTAACATCACTCTCAGTCTCTTCAACAATCGAGTGCGGAGAACTTTGCTCCACTATGACAGGGGCCAGCTGCTGCAGATTATCATCAGGCTGAGGAAAGAGCAATTTGTCATCAGATTCTGACTCCTCACCATCAAAAACTATATCTATTCCCTGAAGATCATCATCCAGAACTGTTTTTAATTGCTTGGACTTGTCTTTTTCCTTATCCACATCATTCACAGGAGTTGCATTTTTTACTTGTACTGATGGTTCCCCAACAACAGCCACCGTTGGATTCTGGCGCTCTCTTTGCCTGGCCATAAATTCATCCACGTGAATCGAGGGAGGTCTTCCACCAGTAGATCCCACCCGCTGAACTGCTATAACATTTGAATTGCTAACACCATCAACACTTCTTTCTCTTGCAACATAATCATCCACATGCATAGATGGAGGCCTACTGGTATTTGGTTTGCGCTGCCTAAAGGTGTCCCTGCGAGTTGGACCAGAAGGGGCAGTTGATGGACCCATTCCCCGTGAAAATGCATTTTGTCCCGTAGTCTCAGCCACTGAAGTTTCTCCCTTAACACGCTTACCAGAACCATCCAATGATGACAATTTCCTTTTCATAGAAGGATTCTGTGACAATCTATCAGGTAAGGTTTCTGGGCATTCCCACAGAAATTTCTCTCCAAGGCCACCTAGGTAAAGGTAATCATCAGCCTTGTCGGCACTGCCATCTGACATCTGATTTATTCTTGAAGGAACCAGAAGCTCATTTAAAGGTAGAGATTGAATGCCTTTACTGCTCATAACGTCATTTATTGTAACTGAACCAGTGGGCTTCTGCAACAATAACAACAATGACTTGGCAGAATCTGAAGCCTGTAAATAGACGACAAGTCCAGTCAGCTTCCACTAACCAATGATGATAAAACAGAAATAATCTAAAGACAAACATCTAATCATCTTACTCGAGACAAAGTTTCCCTCATATCTGTAGCTAGAAAGTCACCATCATTGACCTTCAAACTCAACAATGTAATCATTTCCTGTATGAAACTTATATTCTCTGGAGAGCTGTCTGCTTCATCCATATCATCATGGATCCCAAAAAGGCTTTTTATTGCATCCACCACATTCAAGTTCAAACTGTGAATAGAAATAATAAAAACTGTCAGTTTAACGGATAAATGACCCAGCATATCATTACAGGAAGGAAAGTTCATCGATGAAGCCTATATCATATATAAACTATTCAAACACCATGAACAGAAACCTAGAGACAAGAAAAAAATCCCTGAAGTGCAAAAACAGGCCTAGCACAAAAACCGAAATGGTTTTGTTGGTAACCAGTACCCAAAAGTTATCAATGAAGCCTATATCATACATAAATTATTCAAACGCCATAATAGACCTTGCACAAAAAATTGAAATAGTTTTGTTTTCTAACCAGTATCCAAAATATTACAAACATAAAGCAGTTAACAATGCTATGGATTTTATCAGACATTTATAGAAATTGTTTGGTTTCTTGTATGATATACGTTCAAAATATGCTATTCATTCTATAAAAACCAGTCATTAGTACCAAACATAGATAAACAGTCTATTTGTTGTCTAATTGTTGAGTGTTCTCTAATAAAACCAACCATCTATAAAAACCAGTCTTCATACCCTTCATAAACTACTAAAACAATAGCATGTATAATAATCCTAGCCAACCATTGAGTTTATAGTTCAATTCATGGAGAAAAAACAACTGGTTAACTCACCGTTTACCATCTAAGCAAAAGCACAAAGCACCAATGGATAATGTAGCAACAGCCTCAATTGCACAAATTGACAACTCCTCTTTTGAATCCACTGATTTCAACAACCTAATCCAGCAAGAAAGAAAAGGAGGATGCTTTCTCCATTCAATGTCATCCAAATTATAATTCTTATTCCTTTCCTGTCCGTTTCCAGATTTATGTTCCTCAATGCTGGTGTAGATGTGATGCAAAGTTGTCACACAAGCACTTCGACCTTCATTGCAGTAACTTAAATCTTTAAAGCATGCAACGCAAGAAAGCAACTCTTTTCCAACTGGTAAGACCTGAAAAATAAGGGCATTCTTAGTTACCGGTCAATGCAAATGAAGCAGGACAAAAGTTCTTCCAAAATCTTTCTGGACCATAAACTTCAAGGTGATCCAAAAAAATTAAAAAGCACGAATCTAACACTTTCCCAAGCCACAGGGGTTCAGAGATTCTCAGTTTTTCACATTTGCATAATTTTTTAAAGTTCTCAGATGCTCACAACACAAACAACAAAAATACACTTCCTTAGCGATGACGAAGACCAACCAATTAACACAAACAGTTTGTATGTAAACACTTCCTCAATATAGAACATAACAAGAGGTTACCTGGCAGAACTTAAGCAGATATGGCAGAATCAATGAACAATCTTTAGCACTCATACTTGCAGAACTGTGCCTAATACACCACCAACGAATTCTGTTAAGCATACTGTCAAATCCCATCATGGGGAGAGGGGGGTGTAATACACATAAAAATAGTCCAGGTTTGCTCACAGATCATGTCTCACGGGGTATGGTAATGGTGCACTCGAACCACAAAGAAGTGAGAAGCACTTGAACACAGGACAGCACCAACTAATCAAAGTAAACCCAGACTTAGCTGAAATTTCAGTATCTGAGATCTGTTTTCCATCTGAAACAATGGGAACTAAACACCTTTCCAGCACTTTTGTTAGCATCTGAGCAATACCTTCCGCCAATAACAGTGCCTAACAACAAAGAAAATGGTTGCATGAAACAAGTTGCTGATATGAGGGGTACATGTATGTGTTTGCGCGTGTGAGAAAGAGTGGGGGAGAGGGAGGGACGGCTAAAAGCAGATTCCAAAAACTAATTAGTAAATCACAGTAGAAACAAACCTGGGCACATGGATGTTCCAATATGCTCGCAAGAAAATCAAGATATCTGTAAACCTGAAAGAGAGAACAGAATAAATAAAAGATACAAGTGAAATACAAAATCTGGTAGTTGCAGAAAATAAAACCTTGTAAGCATCAATCTCTGATGGAGATGACAAGTCAGAAACACAATCGCGGATGCAGCATAATATGGGCCGCAGAAGAAGAGAAGCATATTCAGTTTTTTGGCAAGCAATTCGAATTATGAAAACCCGAAGCATGTCTTGAATGACTACCAATGCCTGCTCATAACAATTTCCAAAAGAAGTTAAAAAGAAAGTTAAAATTGCCCAATATAGTGACAGTTGTTTTGTTCAAAAATGGACATTGACTTCCAAAGTACATTGTTAAGACGAAATACATACAGAAATAGCATAATGTTGGATAATCTGCGCAATTTTATCCAGATGTGGTGTCAATTGGTTAAACAGTTTCTCACGGTGTGAAGTCTCCAAATACCAGTCAACCTGTTTCTCCTTCTGTGGCCCCAATAAGGTTCCAACAGCCAATTTTCTTAGCGCACTTAACAAAGGCATTCCGTTCTTCCAAAGCCAGACACCTTCTTCAGGAAATAAATCATTCTTGCAATTAAAATGAGAGGGGGAAATTAGTCAATAACTTACTTAGAAATGGCCACTTCTTGGAAATATAATTCACTTCAAAATGATTGGTAAATAGAATTACTTCTCATCATTCAAACAATGCAATAAGAGATCCATACCAACTCAAAGGTAAATAGCGTCCAAAACACAACATTGATTATTGACTATAGATTTTAAGATTGAAAAAAAAAAAAGGCGTTATTTGAACCATAAACAATTACTCGGACAAAAGTCTAGGGACATGATCCAAATGAGCAATTATTTGCACCAAGCAGAGCTGGGAAGTAAACTAGAGATGTCCGACAGATCCACAACGCAAGCAAGCCCTTGACAGGCCCAAACATGGAATTGTTGAACTTGCCCAATGTTAAGTTTCTAAGAACCAATCATCACAAAATTGATCAGGTGTAGTGCAAAATGGTAACTTCTCTTACCAGAAGACACAGCAAACTGCAGGTTTCCTTTGGACCCAAGGCCAACAGTGAAGTCGCCTGAACATTTGCAAGAAGAGAGTGGAAGAGGCCAGGAGTCCAGCCATACAACGGCCAACAAGTAAGTGCTGCTACAACAAGATGGCAGACAGCTCCAAAACCAAGTGCAGAATCGGGATAGGGCGAGGATAAGTCTGCAGCACATGCAGCCAGCTTTGGACTGCAAGCACCATGATTCATTTGAAGTATGCAGACAATGGAAGCACAAATACAGGTAAACATGAGAAAATGCCAAATTACCTTACTTCTCTATGCAGTCGCAAAAGGGCATGCATTAGTTTTGTATTCCTGTGCTGCTCTTTAGTTTCCTATGAACATAACAGAAAATTAACTCCATTCGCAGACCTGAATAGTCATTTGACTAGAAGAAAATTGACTGGAAACAACAAAATAACACAATATCACAAAGCATAAAGTTTCTGAATTGATGCCCCTTGCATAGCCATCTAACTGTCACAGGACCCTTTTACACTGTTTTAATCTTTTGTGACAAAAAAAGTGGTGTGGAAAAATGAAAAGTTGATTCAACCCATGTGAAGGACTTTACACAAGAAAGGCACTAGAGAGAGAGAGAGAGAGAGAGAGAGAGAGAGAGGACAAAAGGTAGTCACAGAACTTCTTTTACAAGCAAAACCTGCGACAGCAATATACTATATTCCATTGAAGAAACCATGTGATCACTAAGACCTTATTTAAGAAGAAAATATACGACCACAGAAAAAAATTTGTAAATTCTAGAGCCACTAAAAAAGGTAGGTTTTGCATTTAACATGGCTTTGATTGAAAACAAAAAGATGCTGTACGTGAGATAAATAGCAAATGCAAAACTGTCTTATATTACAACATAAACTACATAACATAAGCTACATGCCCCTTAGCTCTTATGACCCAATATTTTTCGATCGCATTATGCCTAGGCAAAAAGTTAGCAAGAGCAAGGCTGTATTGTATTATAATATAAATCTAAACACCAAGCAAACACCTAAACTTCTGCCAAGGATTTAGCTCAAGGTTAATGTGCTACTCGCTTAAACTCATATCAAGTTACAGATAGATTCAGCATCTAAGTAAGTGTTAATTGTCGTTCCTATGCATGTCTACTTCAAATTAAATTTCTTCTCAAAGAAGACCAAGATGGGAAAAAAAAAAAAAAAAAGCAGAGATTTATCCAGGGAGTTATTATCATAAAAAGCAACTCACCTGTAATTTCTGCAGAAGATTGATCAGCAATACCAGAGAAGGCACCAAAAGATCAACCAAGCTCTGCTCACGATTACGTTCCAATAGCAAATCAGATGTAGAATTGCGGTCCGTACCCTCATCAACAAGGTAATCTGTTCAAGACAACATAAAGTACAGGTCTCAAACATGAAATAGAGGCCAATAAAAAATAACAGAAGATTGAACCAGTTAAAATCCCTTTATGAGCCTTTATTTGTTTTTTGGATACAAAATGTTTTTAAAAAAAAAAATAGAAGAAGAAGAGAGATTAGAACAATAAGGAGAAAAAACGGATAATGCATCCTCCAAACTAACTAATAAAAAGGAGCTCTCCGATCACACTAAAAATATGATAAGGCACTTTCCTGAAACGCAAAAGTAAGGCATGATAAAGAAGCCATAAAAATCCCCAGATCATATAAAATCCTTTTTATAACCATAACTGTTTAGTGACTAACCATTGAAAACGAGTAAATTTAGTGACTAACCATAACTGTTTGATGACCGTTCAAGCATGAAGCTGCACTTGATCAGAATTGCATAAATAACTGATATAGCACCTTCATCATATAGAGCAGCAGCAACAGTCTACACCAGAAAAATTGCAATGAGATAACTCACACATTCATCAAACTATTATGGATGAGAAGTTGAGTTAACATACTGAGTTTTCTGAAACAAAGGCCAGTATCCGAATGGCTGTTGTCAACTGTGCTATGGATGAGTCACGAAGAGGATTATCCTCAAAAGACTTATCGGAGATCAACTTTCCAAGATTATCCATAACATTTATGTCCGAACCACCTAAAGCATCTCCAACAACTTGCTCAACATCTGTCAAATCAGACACTAGAATGCTGGTGGAGTTTAACTGGGCATCTCCACCAGAAGCCAACACAGCGGAATACCGTAGAAGACCAATAGCCCCATTCTTGTGAAAAACTACACCAGCATCAATCCACTCCAACAGTCTAGTTGGAGCATCTTTCCGATTGGAACCAGGGGAAGAAGAATGCAATGCTTTATGAAGTTCCATAGCATGTCCAATCCAAGAATCTAGGGAAGATGAAGTTGAATCACTGACAATGACTTCAAAAATCTCTGCAGCTGAGTGAAAAATTGCAAGATTTATTGGAGAAGCTCCTGCAGACACAGAATTCCATCCAATTAATCCACATTTGACAGGTAAACAAGTAAACTCCCAATGACTTCAAAATTAATCATAGAGTTCTGGACTACCACTAGCAACTGGCTCTGACTCCTTGACAGAATGTAAAGCTTCAATCAAGATTGAAATAGCCTACCAAAAAGAAAATTTGAAAATCAGTCTTAAAAAAAAAAGCATCTATTCTCTAAACTAAAGTTAGCTTACAAAATGTTCGATATAAAGATTATCATCATACCCAAGACATTTCATGAAATAAGAGAATTAAATTTCAACATCACTTGGTATTATTCCATTCCAATATCTAAATCATGCATTCTTGCTGCCTTAACACTTCTGATCTAATGTATATGCACTTAAAATGGACTTGGAACTACTTTCTGCAAGGCATGTTAACATCACATATTTATCATACCTCTGGAAAATATCCCAGAACCAACAAAGCTTGGCGCCCACAATCTGACCTGTACATCACAAACAAGCATTCATCAAAATCATGAACACTATTTGACGTTCAAAGTCCTCTGTAGCACAAAAAGCCAAAGCAGTTCCACCTGGAAAGGCCACAAAGCTCCCACAATACCCATAGAAATTCTTCGGAGTGTAGAGTTGATATTAGCAAACGATCAATAGCATTAACCTGCAAAAAAAGAGAAAATCAAGACAAATTATATATTTGGATGTGAGGTTGGAATGGAATTTAAATCCAGATAAAATTATGAAACCATGAACTCGATTGAGAGAACTAACCACTCTCAAATGCGTCTCAACAATTACTCCAACTTCATGTGGACTGCAAACAAAACCCTTAGACAATAAAACAGATGCATATCGTAGAGGAACACATTCTTCCCTATTCATACCACCTGCACCCCTTAGAGCATCAACTAATGTAGTGCAAAGTTCGGGGTGATTTAAAAGGAAAATTAAACCTGGAAAAGAAAACCAATACTGATTAAACCAATCTCACTTCCCATGAAAAATGTAATTTGGGCTTCAAGAATTAAACCTGAGCGACACATAAGAAGTGAAAGAAGTATGGCCCCAATAGTAGATGCAATATCAACAATCATATCCGTAGAGTCTACAGCTTCTGAATGTATTATGGGAGACGACAACAGTGCAGCTGACAGAGGAAGAAAGCCTCTATCCTGCTTCCAAGAAGACATTTTGAATATGAATTAAACAGCTGGTAATTTATCCAAAACTCATCCCCCACCAGGAAAAGCAAAAGAGACAACAGACTGCTGTATAAATTAGCACAAGGAAAAAAAAAAAAAAAAAGAGCGGACCTAGCAAAGATGTTGCCATGGCAGAAATAGAAAACCAAAACTGGACAAAATAACCTAGTAGCTACTTGTACATTTTAATTTCAAATTTTGGTTCTTACTGAAGTAAATTGTAATGGTGAAGAGCTTCCCCTAACACTGCTCTCCTTTTTTTTTTTTTTTTTGGTTGAGACAGGCAATAAGAAGTGAGAGAAGAAAAGGAAATGCATATGAAGATTAAAGCATCATAAAAGCTAAAAAAAAAAAAAACACAACTAGAAGAGCTCATGAACCTCTCTAAATATCAGTTAAAAAGACAAAAGTGTTCCTTTTTTTCCTGGTTAAGTTGGGAAGCACATTTATCCTTAAGCATTTGCTAACACAAACGGTGGTTTCTAAAATATTCTGCAGCTCCCCCAAGATATAAGAATCTCTACAGGCCATGCACCTTTATAATAACTATATCAATTAGTAGCTAACAGCATTGTTAGTAAAAGCAAGTTTAATTTGTAAAATTATTCATTCTTATGACTTTAATTGGGCTGCACGTATCAACTAGCATAAGGACATACTTTATTTGTGTGTCAAAACATATTAAACCATGAAATCTGCTTGAAAGTAGCATACCTTGAGAAGTGCCAGCAAATGCAAGTCTATATCCCAGTTTGAAAAGCAGCAATGTGATGAGCCAACCAAGCTACTGGTTGCTTTATATGGCAATAATCCTTCTGTTTGACCAATGATCAATGACCTACTTGCAGAGGCTGCTGTAGAAGGATCTTCAATTGGACCACGCAAATTTATCAATTTCTGCATGAACACTTACCACCAAATAAGAACTAAGAATTATGGTTTGGCATAATGCCAAAACAAATGCAATTGAAAATTTACAACTGACCAAGAGCATCTTGAGTTGAGATTTAGCACTATTAAGCATTGCTGATGTAACACTTGTAACTCTTCCAACCACAGAAAGTCCCCCCAAAGCAGAAAGAACAGAATGCTAGAAAATAATGAAATTACCACAAGTTAGCACCAATGTATTCTTGGGAACATCTAGAGCCACTTAAACACACAAATTGATAGCATACCTCATATCTAGAAACAACTTCATAAAATCGTAACCGATGAAGGACATAGGTTGCAAGAGAAGCCACATCATGCTGAGGTTTTTGTAGGAACAACTTTAACAATTGACTATAACCTTTGCTAGTACCAGATGGGATGCTTTCATCTTCACGAGGCCACCAACCTAAAAATCCTTCGCAACCAATTGGATGCCTTGTCGCCTGCTCAATAACTCCAAGTAATAGCAATATTATGGCAGAAGAATTCTGCATCTCATGAGAGAAAATGTGTGCAAGCTGCTCCATTCCCCCACTATTGACAAAGTGAAAGCAGCTTTCTTTACTAGAGCACAGTAAAAGCGCCACACACAGCCCCAGAATGACACTCTTGTTCTGATGATCAAGACACAAGATCACAAATGGACAAGATTTAGCAAAAAGATAAAAGAGATAGAAAGATACCTTGTGTGTTTCTGCATGCAAACAGACAGTGAGAGGGGGGCATATATGTTCATTTCTATCTTAATTCAATAAATAGATGTATTAGAAGTAATTTATAGAATACAGTAGCCAAATCACCTGTGAAATCTGACAAGCTCCAACACTTGTGGAGTTCCTGTCAAAACAGAAATATTGGCTTAACATGTCCACCAGCTGTTTCCAAGTAGCCAAGTCGGCCTCTGATTCAAGAAATGTGCAGTCTGCCAAAAGTTCAGCTGATTCATCTTTGGAACCATGTCCAAGCACTAGAAGAAGCTCATTTCTAGCCTCACTGATAACATGGTGCAACTCTTCAAAATTTTTGGATCCACACATTTTAATATGCTTCTGATTAACTGTTTCACAACACCAATCACAGGTGACAAATGAACAGACAGCTGTCACTACAGTACTAAGAACTCTATGTACAGAATCCCTAAGTTTCGGCAGCTCCAGCAACTTCGAAATCAGCTGTAAAAATTGCTTAACCTCAGCAGATGTATCTGACGCAGCAACAGGTAAAGATAACACATTCAGAGAGGTTAGTGAATCCTCAATGGTACGATTAGTTGAATGTAATGCCAAAGGGAGATCTTCGAGCTTTCCCTCAGCAGAACAAACAAGATTAGTTAAAGAGTTATCATCAAATTCAATGTTGAACTGCCCTAGATCCTCTGCTGTGTTCCCATATATGACCAAACTTAGACTGCGATAGCTGCCCCTCACAACCAGATGGTTAGTTACAACAGCCTGCAATAGGTGCCATGAAATTTATGTTTAACTATAGCTTCTCTGTTGAAAGTTAAAGACAGAAGTGCAGAGGGGGGGGGGGGTTTGGTGCGGCGCAAGATAAGAAAAAAGACTAACCACGAATTGAAATGAATGTAAAAGCAAACTATAATTTGGTAATTAAAAAAAGGGGGGATAAGTAGTAAAAATCAGAAGCTAACTACCTCGACTTCTAGCACATGTGATGAAGAATGAGAATAAAGGAATGGCTGGCAGAGTCGCCTAAATCTTGTCTCCCCCTCACACTGAACAAACACCTCCAAAGCAAATGAAGGAGGTGAAGTAGCCCTGCATGATACGGCTACACTTTACGATATCATCTTACATTGAAACCATAAAAGGTAGCATCTTTCAAATCCAAGAAAACTTGTATAAACCTCCATGTTCAAATTTTGAAACTTTCCAGCTTTTTGAAGAGAGATTATATGATTTGTTCAGTTTTAAGCTTCTGACCTCTAAGTAAAATTATCAGAACACCTGTGGAACTTGCATTTTATTCTTTATTCACTATCGTGATCTATTCTTGTGTCATTTAAACCTAAATTCATACTTTTATCTTCTAGTAATCATAGAAGATAAGATTTATTCTTAAAGAATCGCAAGAAGTAAACCAGAAAATTTTAAACAAAAAAGTCCATCACCTAAGGAGAGTCCAAAAACATTTTCTTCCCATCCATACAATTCGCACAAGCACATTTTCACAAATAAACTGTCCCAGGTTAATTATTGTGAATCTTTCTTCACAAAATTTATGATGATAAGTTGAGTGGCTGGACCCGGAAAAGATCAAAGATTGAAAGCACAGTTTTAAAAATTGCATTCGCGAAGGTAGTCACAGAATCATCAGATAATAATGATGCTACAACTACCGTGAATTGTAAATAAATTTCAGCAAATTCTTTCTGCTATATAAATTGACTAATTTCTCCAAAAAACGACAATACTAACAACTTAAATGAATAAAAGCCATATTTCCTGTGAAAAATACAGACATTAACTTACAACATCTTCAAGATCTTACCAGTTGAGATTCGAATTACAAACCCATTATTTCTTTGCATGCATTATCGCTATTTAATGTTAATAATAAATAAACCAATCATAACAACCAACTGCACTAAATAAGATTAGGTTGTATTTAACCAAAATTAATTAAAAAGAATTCAAGCAAAATAAAAAATTAGAGGGCATGAAGGCCTACCCCATTAGCGACACCGCTTGTGACGCAGAAGGAGCATTCTGTTCAAGAAACTCACAAGCCGTAATCACAATTGGTTCAGCGAACAATACCTGCACAAGAATCAATCCAATACAAAAGAACTAAAAATGTTGAGAAGAGAAAAGATAAGAGTGACGGTCACGGTGACGGAGAGGATGGGTAGTTAGTAAGTTGGTAAGTTACCTCGTCGACGTACTCATCCAGTTGAGGATGAACGAAAGTCTGCGAGAACAAGACGCAGGGTTCGGGTCTACCCATACTTTTCTTTGATTGTATGGGTTCGGATATTAGGAGTTTCTTTATCGGGTCAAGTTAGAGAAACCATTCATTAGTAGTTTTGAAATTTTAGGGTTTTTGAAATCAATGGCTTACGAGTGAGAAGTGTTGGATTTTAATTTGCAGGAGAAGGAGAAAGGAGAAAAATATGGGTTTTAGGGTCTCTGTGTTGTTGTTGTCGTCGTCTATATTATTATTATTATAGTTCAATGGACGTGTCGGTTTTAGATGGCGATCCTGTCTTCAGAAGCCATGTCACGCGACATGTCGTCTCCATAGAGTAAATGTAAGAAGGTAGAGATGAAATATCTCTGCTGCAGCTGGTCTCATAAATTTAAAATAGAGCATTCTTGCTGTATTTTTTTCATTATTATTATTTTTTGTATGTGAGGAACAGCTTGTAAATAAATCTTTTAGCCTCTCATGCATAAATAGTTAAATCCTGGCTACCGAAGTCAGGATTCAAATCTTAGACAGTTCGCTGTATATAATGCTTAGTTTTCCCAATTTTTTTTTTAATCTTTTAATATATCGCATATCCAAAAATTCAGATTAATCTATCGTTATTATGTCATGCATATACAACGAAAATAGATATTTAGAAAGTTTTTTATATGTATAAAAATTTAAATTCGAAATTATTTATTTAAATGAGTAGAATCACTTTTTCCATTAAGTAGGTTTTTTGGATTAGTTTTTCCAATATAATGATTAGTTAGACTTCATCTTGAATTAACTTGTGCTTGTACAGCTTAAACAGTGATTGCTCCTTGAATGGCTTTGGTCGACAAAAATAAGTTCTAAAATCGAAAAACATATAGAGGGGGCTCTCATGGCCGACCGGTATTAGAAAAAATACATTAATTATTTTCTATGTTACCATTAGTTAAGAAGCATATTAGATTCTGGCATTAATGGTCATGCTACCGTTGATTTTTAAGTGATTGACAAGGAGTAGAGCAAGGAGAAGTGAAACAGAATAATTGCACTTAATTTTAAAGTTACACTTCCTGCAAGCTACGACTGGAAAACAAACATGGAGCTTATTACAAGCAGCAATCAAGACCTGGACAACACTTTTAGAGACTACTCTACAACAATCACAGGAGGTACTTTGGATTTTAACACTTGCAGTACTCAATGCCCAATATGTCATTCATATATTTTGATGATGAGGAAGTGACAATAAAGAAAAACAGAAGAAATACGCGGTGGATTATCATTGCCATTTGTTCTTTCACCTTTTTGGTATATGGTCTGCTTATCGATTAGTTGGTTGTAAAATAGAATAGAAACATAGTGACAGTAGAAAGAGCAATTAGATCGATATGTATGAAGAGATAAAAAGAGATGTTATGTTTAAAAAAAAAAATCGCTATAAAATAGAATATAAAGTTGTTAAGTCATCTATGCCCTTATGCCAAATGGGTGTCTGAATTGTCAATTATAGAGAAAATAGAGAGAATTTGAACTCAAATTTTGTTGTCTTGATCTGGTTATCGGAGTCTCGTTATATACACAAAAAATAAATCTCTAAAAAATACAATAATCAAATCACAAAACCCAATTTACAGCTAATATAACTTACAGATTTTAGGCTCTAATTGCTTTAATATAGCCATAATTCGTGTAGCCTATCTAATACTCTCCCTCAAAATGACGCTAAAGGATAAAAAAAATATAGCTACTTGCTAATGAAGAAACAATGTTGATATCGAGTCATTTCTTTTGTAAAGATATCAATAAATTAAAGCAATATACAGAAGAGTGATAATTCGAGAATCACAATCTTCTCTTGAATATAGTAGCAATTGATCTTGATGTGTTTGGTATGCTTGTGATAACTAGGATTTGCCACAATTGGAATGGCACTGGTATTATATGCATGGAGAAGCTTTAGGCTGGTTTGAGGGAAGCTAAGCTAAGAAAAATACCTCGTAGCCATATAATTTTAAAGCAAGCATGAGATACAGCAAGATATTCTGCATCAGTAGAGAGCTTGAAGACATGATTTTTTTTTTTTTTTGGGATTTGGGTAATGGAGAAGATCACCATAATCATTTTGCAACTGAAAATTAAGTTCTATTGGTATCTCAAAAATACCAAGACGAATAACACTGACAAGGTCTACAAATCCGAAGCACAATTCTATTGCTTAATAAAAAAAAATCCAGAATTAGAGTGATCTACCTCAAGACTAAGGAAATACGTCAAGCAACCAAAATCTTTCATTTGGAAAGACTCTTGTAAATTATTATGAAGTGAATGAATGCCAGAAATATCACTCCTAATAATCAGTAAATCAACATAAACTAGCAGAAAAGTGATCCCATTCGAAGTTTTCGGTGGACAAAGAAAACAACCATAATCGCTGTAAAAAATTAGACTTAATAAAGATATTTTAAACTTGATGAAACATGCACAAGGCATCTATTTCAAACCATAGAAAGTGTGATTCCATTCGAAGTCTTGCATAGAAAAAGAGAAGGATCATAATTACTTGTAAAAAAATTAGACTGAACACTAAATGAAGGTATTTTTAAACTTGATGAAACACAATGCTATAAAAAATTTGCAACTTCTACTAATCACCATGTAACGAATACAAAAGGTAAAACATAGTCTACGAGAAACCCAGAATAAAATTTAAGAATTCACTCTAGTATGATACAAATATCCTAAGGGGCATGGCACAAATAAGCCCACTTTAGAGTTTTTTAGCTTACATATCGGCGCAGAGTAAAGAAAACGCTACCAATTGACTGCACTGCTGATAGAAGTGCCATAGCGGTTCAATCAACCATTACAAAAGATTTTCAACTCAGGGACTATAATTGTACAGCTATTTTAGAACATCAAGTAAAAAAAACACCCATTACAAGTCCATCGTGTGGGAGTTGGCACATCGACTGAAACAAAAACCACCCACAAACAAGTCTAGTCTATCATGTGGGAGTTGGCATCAATAACAGCTCGTCCCTAAAACAAGCATGTTAAACCATTTCCAAATAACACAGCACAATAAGCATCATCAACCATCAATTCAACTAACCAAACACGGAAAAGGCATCAAACAGAGTCAAGGAACGAAATCATGTAATAAGCAAAATCCCAATTTACGAAAAGAAAAACATAAAACATAAAAGCATAAAAATTCTAAAAGGATCAAACAGTATCACTAAACTCTTTAATTTAAGAAGTCAAAATCCTGAAGAGGAACATAACCTAGGCTGTAAGCACAACAGCTCCACCAGCCTCTTTGATCTTCTTCTCAGCTGTCTTTGACACGAGCTTGGCCTTGACAACAATGGGTTGCTTCTCAGGCAAAGCACCCTTGCCAAGAACTTTGAAGTAACCAAACTGAGTGACATCAACCATGGGCACACTATCCTTGGTTGCCTTGTCTTTGACATCTTGTGGGACCATGGACCAGAGCTTGTCGATGTTGACGATGGGACAGTAGAACTTGTTGCGGAGCTTGTGGAAGTAGCGCATACCGACCTTACCGAAGTAACCGGGATGGTATTTGTCGAAGAGTATCCTGTGGTGGTGCATGCCTCCTGCATTTCCGCGACCTCCAGGATGCTTCCTGTGCTTTCCGATACGACCATGACCGGCGCTCACGTGACCTCTCTTCTTCCGGTTCTTCTTGAAGCGGGTTGTCATTTTCGGCTTTGGAAAAGAGGGATCTGTTGTTCAGGGTTTTGAGCGGCTGCAAGGGGAGAGATTTCACAGTGACGGTCGTCATTTAGGGCTTGGGATATATATATGCTGGTGATTGGATTTTTCGGTTGACGGTTTTGTCCTCTAGGTTAACGGTAGGTTAATGGGCTTTATAAAAACTGGACCTAATAAGAGAAGTTATAACCGTTCAAAAATATTGATGAGAGAAATTGAAGCCTTTTTTATTATTTTTTGTTTTTAGAACGAGAAATTAAGATTTTTAACTAAGCTTTTTATTTATTTATAAAATTGTGTGATTATTCAATCTATGTAATGTCATTATCCTTTAAAAAAGATGATTTGGAATAAATAAAAAGACGGTTGGTTTTTTAGTTTATCACATAATTGATTCTTCGTCATTTGTAAATTAGATTTATAATTCATCAAGTATCCAAAGGATTCTTCATCTGAAAAGTCTTGATTCGAGTCTTTTTTCTATAATTGAAAAAATTATTTTATATTATGAGAAAAGATTTGAAATAAACTTATTAGTCCACAGGTATAAATCCTTTTATGATATATATATATTAAACGAAGGCCTTTGCTCAAAAAAAGGAAATGAAAACAAAACTTAAAATAAAATATGAACAATAAATACATTGTTGCATTTAATAAAAACGAGGATAAAAAAAATATGGGGTAAATGACAAAGAAAAATCAAACAATCCATGATAATAAAATTTTAACAATTTTTATGAAAAATAAAAAATATATATATTATTTAATTATTTCTTTGATGGAGGTTTCATATCCAAATCAAATCATATTACACTATGTATTAGAATGTTACCTAATGCATTTTCTTTTTCTTACATACATTTACAAAAATATTTGAGAATTTAATAGGTGTTTTTATTAGGTATGTCAACATTCTTTTAGAATATGAATAAAGTTTAAAAAAAAACATAATTAAAATATTGTCATCCTCGATTGTTTTGTTTTGTTTTGTTTTTATGATAAAATGGCTTTATATTGATTAATATTGAAATGATAATATTACTTCAAAGTTTAAACCCAACAAAAGCACTTTTGTCATTAAAAAAAAAAAAAAAAAGAGAAGGCATTTTGGGTATAAAAAGAGCTTTTGTAACATTTTTCTTACATGTGAGGAGAGTTTTGTCGAATTTTCAAACAATAACTATAATTTTAGGATAGAACAAGAATCAAGATTGCTGTAATTTATTGTTTAAAGGAAAAAAAAACAGGTATGCAAAAAACTTCTCTCTATTTATGCTCAAGTGGCATGCCTATGCTTCCGA